CACGAGTCGTAGTTTATCTCTTATCAGGTTTGAGTTATATAAAAAAAAATATTTGCCCGTAAAATGTTGGTTCAACTTCCCTGGTTTTTCGTAATTTACATATTAAAAAACCATAACTCATGAACCAATTATCGTAAAAACCGTTTTAAGTTAAATGACTGGGACATTATCTTAGCAATCGCATTATCATCTCATCATCTCATTAAAATATATATATTTATGTTTTTCATGAAAATTTTCTCGGTGGGGGGAAATAGATTTCTTTGTAAAAGAATTTCTTATAGGCGAAATGGCTCTAATGTTGGTCTATGGATCTAAGATTGGGCCCATCGCTAAAAAATCTGCTATTTATCAATTTTATCTAGATGAACGCGTCATTGGGACTGTACTTAAGGATATTTTTGGTTGCTATTGAAAATTTAGTTGATTGCTGAATGTATGGGTCTAGATTAGCGGCATTTAGGCCGACATTACATCCATTTCCCCTATATCATTGGTGACAATTTCAGAGTGGCTCTCTTACCGTTTTTCAGTGTTTACCGAAAAAACGAATGGCCAGTTACGCGTCATTCTAAGAAAATCATAAAACAAACAAGACACCGACAATTTTCATAGCTTTCCTATGATTGGTCGTTATTTTTTAGGTCAAATCTCAAAAAAGGTTAAAGACACCACTCTGACACTTTCACCAATGATAAATAAAAAGTTTTCAAGGATGAAAAAATGAGAGCATGAGAACAATTTTCATTAGCCTGACAATAGCTTTTCCTGACTTTCCTTGTGGTTTTCCTCCATTGTGAAAATTTTCGTGGACCCTATTTTTTTCAAATTTTGTATGGATTGCTGATCGAATGTCCTTATCATTTGACTGCACAACATTATTTTTACATGAGTTATGCATTTGTAAAGTACGTGATGTCCGGAAAAATTTGAAAACTTAAAATAAAATGTTTCGGGAAAATAACCACCCCGAAGTTTTTGAAATTTGTTTTCGTTCATATAACCATAAACTGCTGGAAAATTTTATTAAAATTCTTAAATCCTTCCGCTCATTTTGCCTAATAATATGAAAATACCCATATCTACACTTTTTTGAACTTCCATGAATTTTGCTGAAGTTCCCAACATTTACAAGAAGTTCTCGGAACTTCTCTTGAGTCACCGTGATTTTCCTAATATTCATGAATCTGATAGTTTCCGTTATTTATCTGGAATTCTTGAATCATCTCTAAAGTTCTCTGAACTTCTGTGAAGTTCTCCAATCTTTGGTGAAGCTTTCTTAATTTGGTTGATGTTCTTCAAACTTCGCTCAAATTTTCAACACTTCTTTAAGGATAATTAAAAAAAAAATTAAAGCCAAATAATTTAAGCAGTTCCAAGAAGTTTTCAAAGTTTTGTTGAATGTATTGGAACTGGTTCGGTTCTTTACATTTCCGTGACAATGTGAAGCATTTCTCAGGAAAAGCGCATATAAATCGTGCACAAATGACGTACTATCACCAACATTTCTCTGAGACAATTAGCGAAATTGGAAGGTTTAAGCATCGGAGCTGTTCGAAACGCAATTGGGAAGTATGGTGATGAAGCAAAAATCTGGACTTAAACCGAACCCTGTTGATCGAAATCTGGACCGGACATCGTGTAAGTTTTCACTCACAAGAAAAGTGCTTCGGTTCGAGACGTGGCTAAAAGCATGGGATCCCCAAAGAGTAACGTCCAGTGGGCTAAGGCAGGAATGGGTCTAAAGACGTATAAGAAGCAAAAGAGGCCAAAGTGGAGTGAAAAACAAGCCGCATTCGTCAAACCGAGGACTCGGAAGTTATACGACCAATTACTGTGCGGAAAATCAGTGTGTCTGGCGTCGGTTCATTACTCCAAGGACACGGTAGCCTGTTATAAAGCCAACAAGGTCTAATTCGTACCCAAAGAGATGCATCCGTCAAACTGTCCCCAGGCCAGATCAATCGAAACTTTTTGGGCCCTGACCAAAGCATATTTGCGGAAACATGTAAAGGTAGCGGATTCCGTTACAAAGTTTGCGAAAGACTGGGAAAAAGTATCCAAAATTGTTGGAAAGGCATCTGTGTTGAAGCTAATAAGTAGCGTGAGATCAAAATCCGCTCTTTGACTTACGACTGATCGGATCTCGGATTTTCTACGTTTAACTGTATTTAACAGAATACTATAGAGAACATGAATACGAATAAAAAATCGAATTTGCTGTAAACAGAGTTACGTTATCGTTTTTTTTTTTTAATCGTGTTTAGTCATTCTGAGACACCTTATATACACTCTTAGCTTGATCCAGTGAAATTTTGAAAAATTTTACTCAAAAAGGCCCTATGACGCGTTTTTAATGTGTCCGGATTTTTTCCTGTTCAACCTTTATTGTAAATGCCCTAAAGATCTAGGTTTTCCTGAAATTTCTCAAGTTTTATAGATTATTCTTTAAAATCTCTAAACTTCCCTCAACTTCTCTGGACATCCCTGAAGTATTTGGAACTTGCCTTGTACTGGAAATATTCCTATAATTTAATTTTTATTTATTTATTTTTTCGAGCATTTTACGCTTTTTCAGAAGCCATAAGCAATTGTTTGATGTAGATTTATACTCACCCTTCACCATCCTTCTCCAAAGGGGGAGTTTGGTAAAGAGAGATGATAAAACTGATTTGTACCTTCCTAAAAGTTGTCTAGCTCTCTTTCTACTTCTTTATGCAATTTTCACACTGCCGTACTCTAAACAGAACTATCAATTATATACTTTCATCTCCTCATCTATCGTATAAAAATTACCACTTTAGTCTGTTTTTTTAAATTAGCATCATCAACTATAGATTTATAGTTTTTAGGATGAGTCATGACTGTGCAAAGTAAAAAAATGAGCAAAAAACTTATTTTTCATGGAAGTGCTTTGGGTCAGGTCCTATTATGAGTAAATGAGTTTTGGCACAGAGAAGTTCATGACTACCGGGACTGTAAACGGGGAGATCTACCTCAAGGAGTATCTACAGAAGCGTCTGCTTCCTCTGTTGAAGCAACACGAGGGCCCTACGATCTTCTGGCCGGATCTAGCTTCGTGCCACTATTCAAACGTTGTCCTGGAGTGGTACGAAGCCAAGGTGTCACTTTCGTACCCCTCAACGCACCGGAACTAAGGCCCATTGAAAAATAGTGGGCTATTATGAAGCAGGCACTACGGAAGCGTCCCAAGGAGGTAACGTAAAAAAATACTTCAAGCGTCAATTGCTCACGTATCACAACACAACACCACGCCAAATATCTACACCATTCATGTAGGGTGGGTCGAGGTGTAGGAGCTGCCTCTCTGGTGTCAATAGCATTGGTACTCAGTACGAAAAACAAGCTCGACGGAACACAAATTAAAAAAACTATCTGTACCATCAGCAAAATTTATCTGCTAGATGGTGTCGTTTTGCCTGAATGAGTCCTTATTCACGATATTTTTTTTTCCTTGATTTGTTTTCCGTCGATCTTGTTTTCCGTGCTGAGCACCAATGCTACCGACGCCAGAGAGGCAGCTCCCACACCTGGACCCTACCTATCGACCCATCAACTCATGAACCGGGGACCAACGGCTTTACTTCGGCGTGATCAGATATGTTATGCCTCAGAACATCCCGGCGGTGCCGACTGGGATTGAACCCAGGCCTGCTGGGGTGAGAGATAATCACGCTTACCACTACACCACCTGCGCCACTCATTCACGATAAATTGTCGTTTAAAGTCATTGCTTACACTTGACATGCAGGCCCTTTTCTCATGTTACTCTAGATATATAATAAGGCATTCCATGAGACAGTTGCGATCAGCTGATTTTTTTTTTGTTTATTGAGAATTTTTGGCAGTTCACAGTGGTACTGACAGATCGTTACTATTGAAAATAACATTCATTATATTTACATCTTGCATCGGCAACACCTGATCACTCACAGCTGCGAAACGTCTCATGGATCATCTTATTTCTGCATCAACTAAATATGGATATTAGGTTTTTTCAAACAGATAGTCAGTTTCGATCCAGGACTACAATAAAATTCATCAAAAATAACTATCGCACACCTAACTCCTGGATAAGTGTGTATGTCCCTACACAGCAAAAATTCTGAATTTTAACTATCGCGTATAATCTCCCTTCGTTTAATTTTGAGCTATACTTGGCATAAACAGCGAAATCGTTTACAAGCTTGCATACAACATCGCTAATTTATGTGATATTGCGCTTAAATTTACACGAAATATCGCGTAAATTTATGCCAAATCTAGCGTTAATTTTATGTACGCTATATCTCGCAGAAATTTATATGAATTTTTCGAACGGTGTACTACCGGGCAACACAAAATAAACTCTTTAATATGTTAGATAATAGCAGGGTCGCTTTTAATCTCTTCGCTTTTTTTTCGGTTTAATGAAATCATTAAATATTGTGTGCTTGTATTTTACAAGAAGAGGTTGTGAAAAATATGTTTGACCCATTAAAACCTGTTTTGCTACAAGTACAACGTATCATTATAACATCTAATAATTTCATCATTCCGAAAAACATTTTTATTTTAGCGAAGTGACCGGAAGCAACCCGGAATTATAGGCATAAATAAAGCCACAATTTTGTTTTAAATATTTAAAAGTGTGTGCAACCCTGTAGGTAAACCAGTTTTCAACAAGCACCTCTTCAATCACTAATTTACTAGAAACTATAGCTATATCCTTTCTCTTGACGCTATCCACTCACCTGCTCACGGAACCGTTCCAAATCAGGTGCACTGTGTCAAACAAAAACACAGCGACGATCATTCCCGGAACAACAAGCGGAAAATAGAGCAGCAGTATAACTTCGAAAACATACACACCTCGAACATATCACATGTTGTGGAAACATTAATTTTAATTTTCCTTGTTTTTCTTCTCTGTGCTTTCTTTCTTCTCGGAACCCACTTTAAATCTGCCTGCCGGGATTCCACGGTGCGCCCATATCTAGGCTACGACTGGGTCGGTTGGCGTAATGATTCACTTGGCTGGGCTGGAAAACCGGTCGAGATGGTGTTCGAGTTCGACACGGTGAGGAACTTTAGTGCCATGGTTCTGCACACCAACAACATGTTCAGCAAGGACGTACAGGTGAGTGTTTTTGTCTGGTAAAAGTACGAGTGGGGTGTGAGGGTATAGTGCTTCTTCATCCGCACCAGCTCCTTTGGACTTTTTTTTCTCCCTTCTCTGACCTCTGTTGCTATCGTGTTCCACTACCGCGTGGCAAGGAAAACGATGAAGAAAAAGGAGTTCAAAGTCGACCCCGGACGAAGAGGCTCAAACAATGCAATGGGAAAAAGGCATTGTGTCGTGAGGAAAAGGCAAGGGAACAAAAGCACCCTCGGGGAAGTGAACAGAGAAAAAGGGTGAATTAAACAAATGCTTCTTTTGCTGGCGGAACCAAAGCCAAAAGAAAAATCCTGCAACGGAATAGGAATTCGGACCACTTTACGATAAGGCATGTACGCTTAAGGCTTCATTGTTGTTACCATCCTGGGGATTATGTTCCGTCCTTGTTTTTCTACCTCAGGATCTCGTTTGTCTCACCCAGTCAGGAAGAAATTGGCGTCACTATATAGAGGAGCAAATTGATCCAAATGAATTCTGAATTCAGCCTTACAGAGAAGTAACTTTACTTGAAGAGGGAAATCACTTGTAGCTATTATTTTATAAATTTTAGGTGAGCTATAGTAGATGGGAAAAAAAATAAGAAGCCTGCAAAATATGAATTGAATTTTGTTTAACAAAATTTCATAGATGTTAATATAAAACTAATTATCTATAAACATTACAATAAACGAAATATCTATGAGCACCAGTTGTTCAAAATATCGTTTTTGCTCCCCCATATAGGGTTTTTGATATAATTTCCGTCCTACTAAGCACAACCCGCGCTTTTCCTCTCTTTCTTGAACGGGTTTTAACAATAAATGAAACTTTTATATAAGATGACTTCTAAATTTATTCCCCTTTCCATAAGTATCGTTGAATTTGATAAAAAGTCACTCATTGTTGAGATATTATTTAAAATCTAACACTGCTTTTTGATTCAAATTCGTCCTGAGAGTTTCAATTCCATCCAAACGCATTGAAACGCCATTGGATTTTCTTCGACCTACGGATGAAGGTAGAAAAAGTGAGTTCGCTAAGAGCGCTTCTTTTGTTTTGAGAAAAATTAGTGTAAATATTCACACCATAGGCTTTGTGTTGTAGCTTGTGAACTAACGCATCGGTACAAACGTATTATTGATTTGTGCACGTTGAAATCATTGATTATGCTGATGATTTCTGCTCGATAGAACGGAAATGGACGATTATGACGAAGTAGCGCTCTACCCTATCGATTTCAAATCAGGTCCTGGTAATTCTCACAAAATGTTAGTTCATTTTGATGCGAACTCATAATGCACTGGCCCTTTTAAGTTTATATGGGAATTAGTATGGAAACAGTGAACTTTTTGCTCTCATCGTTGATCTACGGAAATGTTTGCTATCTGTAGTAATATTAAATTTTCTCAGCTGCAACTTTGCTCAAGACCGAATTTGAATTGAACGTAAGGATAATTATATCAGTATCAAAAAGTTATTGGCTTCGAAATCAATTAATAACTAATTACCTTGAAGCCTAATCAAAAAGTGGTCTTCAGCAAAGCTGTTTCACATAAGAGCTTCCCAAGAACCAATTCAAGCTGAACAGTAAGAACAGACGCTGATTAACACCAATCTGAATACATAGTTGATTAGTAGTGCATAAAGCGGATTGTATCCCCATACTTCAAACTCAGTAAGATAGCTGATCTAAAGACTGTACAATTATTATTTAAGCTTAACACTACTCCACAAATCAGCAATTTACTGCACAAAATATTATATGAATAATAATCAATAAAAAAAAAATTGGATCTACTGTACAATATTGTCAAATGTTACCATTCTAACTTATTTCATTTCTGACATTTTAGTTCTTCTAAATGCACTGCTTACCTTTCTAACCCCTAGCAGCGCCAGCAGTAGAGGCAAAGAAGAGGAGCTTTCTAGGAATGGTTCCAGGTAGAAGTGGACTGCGATAACGTCGAAAGTATTAACATTTGTATGTGTGTTGTATGTTTACCATTTTATATCGCACTTAATTTTCAGACCGCATTTCAAAAATATAATTCAATTATGGCATTAAAATAGCATCCAAATGACCATCTAAATAAATCGCACACTTGTGTCCACATAGTGTTTACTGCACTTGGAAATGAGAGGAATGTTTTACTGTCACAATTTATTGTTTACAATTCTGCATTGCTGTATCAAACTCTTCCGGTTGCTATTATCCAACTTAAATTTAACGTGCTACAAGTTAACGATCATACCTTTTGCCACACATATGCTTAAGTGGTCCAGTAGGTTTGGTTGACGCCTGTGAATCAAATATGAATATGAACTTTAATCGTGGTTTGAATCGATAATCATTGAATATACGGAGATGAAAAACTACCTAAAATTAAATACTTTTCTCTTTATTCCCGGGTTCAGCCCTATAACCCAATTTTGAGTAAATCGCAAATAGTAGTTTCCAATTTTTTCCTTGATTTGTTTCTGTCGATCTTTTTTTCCGTGCTGAGCATCAATGCTACCGACGCCAGGGAGGCAGCTCCTACACTTGGACCCTACCTATCGACCCATCACCTCATGAACCGGGGACCAACGCACAGTGGTTCCTGGCTGGCCAAAACCTCAAAAATTAAAGTTGATATTTTTTTATTTCAATATTTTTTATCATTTTTACATGTTAAGAGTATCTTAAATTGAATAATTTGTGCAGTTCTGTTGATTAAATATTTTTTATGGCTGTTATAGTGTAGAGATATCAAAATTTTTTGAAAAAAATCGTTATGTTTATTGTTACTGTTTTGCTCAAATATAGCAAAAAATTATGTGTTTATAAACTTGGTTGCTTCAGAAGAAATGTTCCTCGGCTTATTTCACGTCAAATAGATGTAAAGAAAGAGTGTCTTAGTGTTTTTAGTGACAGTTTCTGATATAAAAATGAGTAAAAATATACTTTTTTCGCATTTAGACTAAGCAAAACATATGACGGACACATCCGCCCACTATCATTTAGTAACCAAAAGATAGCTAAAAAAGTAAGCTTTCAGATGGGCCTTGATGTGTTTTGCGATTTTTTGCGAAACATGTTGAAATCAGGAATAACAAGTAAAGTGTTCTTTGAAAAAATCTGTTTCTTAGTTATATAATCTGCGGTGTATACCGTAGCATGAAAAGATATTCAAAGAAAATCGATTTTTGTAGCCACCCTAACCTGCTTGTTTAAAAAATCATAACTCATGAACCATAAGAGATAAAAACATTGTGTCTTGCACAAAGTTGTTTTGAATTTAATGTTCTACAACTGTTTAGAACACTGCTTTGGTCTATCTCAAATAATAAATAGTTTGTATTTTTAATTCACCAATTTTATGGACCACCCTAATTTTACGAACATAAAAAGATTGAACAAAAAATATGAAGCAATTTTCCCTAAGAAACCATATACCTAAAACTGACAGTTTGAGCGCAAACATTTTTGTCTTCCTAGGTAAATACGGCTGGGACCATTGTGCATTGGTTTTGGTTCTACTATATTCCTTTTTGTGACGTCTTGATTGTCAAGTTTTCTTCGTACAGCTAAAAAATATCTATTTCAACTGTTTTTTGCCTATTAGCAACAATTTTGAGGTTTTGGCCAACTTTTGTTCTAAGGGGAACCACTGTGCAACGGCTTTACGTCCCTTCCGAAGATAGGCGTGATCAGAGAACATCCCGGCGGTGCCAACTGGGATTGAACCCAGGCCTGCTGGGGTGAGAGATAATCACGCTTACCACTACACCACCGGCGCCACTTAAAATTAAGTTTAATTCACGTAAATTTGAGAATATGCAATTTACTCAAAAATAACTTATTGGGCTGCACTTTGGGTCGTTGGGTCGAATCTCTCGTTTCTTTTTTGACAACAATAACGAGTGCAAGTAAGAGGCTCAACTAAAAATTAAGTAAAAAGAGATCAAATTTTGGGTAGTAATTTTTTTTTCATGCATAATCGATCGTCAATTTTTTTTTAACTCTTTATTTGTTCAAAATTCAAAATAAATTACATATCATTTTAACCTAGGTGCTCCAACTAATACAGTAACTTACCAGCCTTAATTGTTATGATATGTATCTAAGTATTTTTTTTTCATTGTTGCTGCCTTGGCAATTCAGTATTTTAAACAGGTTTTTAAAACCTTCATGTCACTACAACAATTGACATCTTAAAACTAAAAACTAAAACTAAATCTTATCTAAGTCTTCTTCTTCTTCTTCGCATTTCAAGCTTATTGCATATCGCATATTAGCTTATTGCGTGCTCTCAACTTAGTGTTCTAGATGCACTTCCACAGTTATTAATTGAGAGCTTTCGATGCCTGTACCATTTTTGCATTGGTATAATTGTGTGGCAAGTCCAATCATACTTCTATGCCCAGGGAAGTCGAGAAATTTTCCAATCCGAAAAATTTCTAGACCGAACCGGGAATTGAACCCAGCCACCTCCAGCATGGTCTTGCTTTGTAGCTGCGCCTTTACCGACTGAGCTAAGGGAGGCCCAATCTTATCTAAGTGTTTGGGGAATTAATCGTTGCAAATGAGGATTTCAACGATTTTTGCTTGGAATTATTGATTATTTTGTTGATTTGTTCCAAAGTCTCAACATTCGAAATTCTATGTACCCTTTAGTACTGTACCAGGGAGGCAATTTCAAAATCATCTTCATAACTTTGTTCTGAATCATTTGAAGTGATTTTTTCCTGGTAGTGCAACAACTAGACCATATTAGCACAGCATAAAGCATAGCCCGTCAAAAATAATCGATTTTCATGCTTCTCATGGTATCGGGACCAAATGGTGCTATATTTTATCTTGAGAAGTTGGACTTTCTTACACAACATATCAAAATTAATTGTAGCTCAGAAACGTAAAAAACATACATCGTGGTACTCCCTATGGTTGCCTTAAAGCCATTTTATTGAAAGGCATTTTCACGAGTTTTTGTTTAACCGTAAAAACGGCAATAAGATTATGAGCAGGGGAGTGGGATGGGTCATTTCACCGAAAACCATTTTGCTGTTTTTTCTGTTATTCTGATATTTACTATTCATGAGATTTATTTTTCTTTCTTCTGTATGGTACCTCTTCTTTCCTAAAATTTGATGCATAAAATTTCAATGATTTTTTGATTTTTGAACATGAGAACTAGTTGGCGAGTGTGTACGGTTCATATAGATTACCAAAAATGTGTATAAACGATTATCTACGTGGTAAGAGGGAGGGTGTCCTCTCCAAAACCGTTTACGTAGTTTATGAATAGCCGCTTATGTGTATCATGAGTGTAATGCATACCAATTAACGTGAAATCTGCCGTCGTTGTCGTTAATTCTTCGTTACTGTCTTTGCTGAAAAGCAGTCTACATTCTCGTCTCTACTAAGTGTGCGAAAGATATTAGTTAGGGGAAATGGATGTAATGTCGGCCTAAATGCCCCTAATTTGGGCCCATACATAAATTCAGCAATCGAATAGCGACCAAAAATATCCATTAGTACCGTCCCAATGATGCGTTCATCTAGATAAAATGTATAAATGGTAAATTTTTATCGATGGGCCAGATTTTAGATCCATAGGCCAACATTAGAGCCATTTCACATAGGCAGCGAATATAAGAACTGAAATGTCGGAAATGACACGGTGGACACTAAAGACGCTTAGATGTTTTTTGAGTGAGAGTTGTTTCCTTTTATCCTTTTATCTGCCCATAAAGAAATTTTCTGCGTTATGCTGATTTGTGGAGTCATGTTTAGCTTGAACAATTCTTAGCCAGCAAAACGATACAGCGGTTCTCAGAATTTCGTAACAACTGGTAGTTTGTTCCTTATCGAAAAATATTAGACCCGTATTTTTTTTTATTTTTTCATTAGGGTGACCATTTCCACGTTAGAGTCGTCAAAAAAATCGTTTTTTTTCTTTTTTTTTCCAAAAACGACATTTTTTTTAATTATAACTTTTGAAAGTCATATCCGATTTGAATGATCTAAATATCAAATGAAAGGTTATTAAAAATAGTTGTCAGGAAAAAATATAAAAAGTTTTATAAATTGGAGTTTGCAAAGAAGATTTTTGATTGTATTTATTTTTTATGTTTATCATGGTTTGCAGACAATGGGCGTAGCACGTTTTTATATTTTTCTTTGAAAATTTAGTCTTTTCTGCAAAACATATAAAAAAAAATCAGCGTTCGTTTTTGAGTTACAATTTTTTATTAAATTATCATGTTTAGAAATGTCTAGTCTAGGATCAAAAATTGAAATAAGTAAGTATTGTAACCATATAACATTCAATATGTATCAATGGAGACGCAGGGTAATCTAGTCGTATTGGAGCAATGAGCGAAATTTAAAAAAATTATAATTTCAAAAAATTGTAACTCAAAAACGAAGAAAAATACATCGCTGATTTTTGTTATATGTAATGTTGAACTTTCCGCAAACAAGAGGGTAATCGAATTCGTTCAAATTTGGCACAATTTCTGGGGACTTCAATAAAAATCGAAACAGTGAACCGAGGGATGAGATCCGCTTTAAGATCTTGACCAGCCCTAATGAACAACTCCTTAGTGGAAATTTAAAATCCCATCCCATGATGATTTACTACATTCTCCAATCTTCAAATTTTTTGCGCGATAGTGATGAGGAAACTTAAAACTCAACATTGTGGTAACTTTTTTGATTCTGCACACGTAATCCATCTTTGACGTAAATTATGCAAGCAAGCATGCATGATTGACCGCCCACGGTTGCTGCTCTGTTATTACCAGATCAGCTGTAATTACACAGAGAACCAACAGATGATGTTTGGGACTAACATTCATCCTCAATGTGTAAGAACTGGAGATCTAATATTAAGCAATACCAGCGCCGGCCGTGTCCGAATGCAGGTCAACTAGGGAATGGGAAGGAATGTGTTGACGTGGTACTCGCTGTGAAGGAAACCGAGAAATCCTCTGCGCTTCCACGAGAAATCACTGGGATGTTGGATGTGGGGATGTGGGGAAAGGTTGCACGCACACGCAGCGATCGTTTTTGGTAGAGCGATTATAATACACAAACACACACACACACGCGCGCGCACTCATCCAATTTCTATTTTTAGATCAGGACCCACACTGTGGTAAGTGATGCGATCGGTGTTAAACAAGAATTTGTTTTCATTAAAATCTAGTGAGTATAGAGAATAAGGCAAAGTGAAAAATTGCAAGGAAGGGGACGGGCCTGAGATTGAACTCCCGAACTTCTGCTCAGTAAGCAGAAACGGTAACCACTGAGCTACCGAGCCTCGTCAATCTTTAACGTAAATTATGGAACGTAAACAAACATGTCATGTAAAATTAAGTGTTCCCAAACCGAAACATACGCAACTCAACGAAAAGAACGATTGATTGAATTGATTTTCTCATTTCTTTCAACTGATTCTTATGTCATTTGGGCCGCTTGCATGTGTCGGTCTCAGGGCACGGAAATTTACATGAATTTTTGGTAGTGTGTGGTTGAATAAGAACTAATTCAACGTGAATGACAATACTGACTATATACACTTAAAACAATGCATGTTAATTTAGGTGCTCTGAGACTGACATATACGAGCGTCAATTTTGACATAAAATTTAATAACAATAGACGCAAAAATTCAGCTCAATCAAACGTACTTTTCGTCGAGTAACGAACTTTTCAGTCTCGGAGTTCTTAATTATACATGACATGTTTGTTTACGTCTCATCTTTTATGTCAAAGATGGATTCCGTCACGTGTAAAATTAGGAACTTCTAAGTGTGTAGGATTTTGATATCTACACGCGCAAAATTAACCATGATTTAGATATTTGTAAAGTTAAAAGTGCAAATTTCGTTTTGTTTCGTAATTATCGCAATGCAAACCCATAATGCGTGACCGTTAAGCCTTCATCAATCGACAGTATTTACCATTTATTTTTGCATAGGCTTATATTTTAGGGTCAATCAAAGTGGATGATGGATGCGATGATTTAAATCATCTTTTTTTTTATTGAAAATGAAACACCCTTCTGTCCTACTTTCAAAATGAAAAATATCGATGTTAAGGTTTTTCAGAAATGCTAGAACTTCTCTAGTCGGAACAATGACTTTTCGAACCACAGATTGTCAGTGGAAACCAAGATTAATTGAGAAGATTGGAAATATTGCAGCAAGTATTTGTTATAAGCTACAATTGTTAACATGTCATACGGCTCATAATTAAACAGCCTATGAAATCAATCCTAAAATTTCATTGAATTCTTAGATCCCACCGAAATTATACATACGGATTAGTTGACCGCTGCAGCGCAGATAGACTTTTCAGCCGATGATGTTTTGTTTCCATTCAATGAGCTCTGTTTGTCCCATCAAGCCACTTTACGAGCATACTATTTTCTTCAACTATCCATCCTGCATGGGATTCGCTCGAGCACAAGCAGTGAATCCCATCTCTATATGTTGGCCTAGCGATTTCTCGTCTGCGTCAAGACGGTTCGGAACACCCAATTAACGAGTGGGATCTCCCGAGAGCTCCACTTCCGTCCACCCACCCAATAAAAACCGATAAGTTTTTTCGCTTTTTTATTCTATTTTTCAAATGAAGAAAGCTCGAATTAGAACGAGAAAGCACTTAAAGATATAATAAGATGACATTTTCTCAGAAACGTTTCGCTTTAGTGCTAATTTTCTGCTTCACCATCAGTGCCCTTTTTTCTTGTTCTGCTCGGTCGATTCCGCTAGCCCTGCCTCCGGTTCACAGTTTATTATCAGCGCTGCAGCAGAAGGACTTATCGTTTCTCTTCTTTGTCACTTCTTCTTTGTCCGGATGGCATCGTTCCTTTCGCTGCAGAATCATAAGCTCCTTATATTGCCAAGATACGTTTATATTTTGTTCCATTTATTTTCTCATAATTAATAAGTTTCTCCATTAAAGCGATAATCCTCTATCGATCTAGTGACCTCCTCGTGCTTTCCACCGGTTATCCGTGGCAGACGTAGTTTGCTGCGTTTGCGATACAAAAAAATACGGCTCCAAGGGAGCGAGAGAAAAATGATCAAAGATTCAACATCCGTTGGAGCCATATTGCACAAAATGGGAAGAGGGGGTCACGGTCGTCAGGATTATTGGATTAAACCGGGGCGTCCGATGAGCTGTTTTGATCCAATAGATTTGCATTCGGTATAACTATAACGATTGGTTTTCAAGGGATCATAGAGGATTTCGCTTTTGTATCATTATTTATTTCATCGGTTTCTAGTGTGGAATGGATCTCACTCCAAAGACCCCATGGTAGAAAATTACCGGCAAACAGAGACCAGCTTTATTAGCAATAAATCTTATATTTCACTGGACTCGTGCACACTAATATCCACCTCCAGCTGACCACCTTCCCCGCTCTTAAATACACACAGTTAAGACTCATCCCTTGCATCTATCTCTTTGTTTGAAAATTGCAGGTATTTCTCCATGCGAAGGTCTTCTTCAGCATCGGTGGCCAGCACTTCAGCAGTGAGCCGGTGCACTTCTCCTACATGCCGGATACGATTATGGATAGTGCTCGTGATGTCACGATCAAATTACATCATCGCATCGGACGCTACATCCAGGTTCACCTTTACTTTGCCATGCGGTGGATTATGCTGAGTGAAATATCGTTTATTTCCAGTAAGTATGTTTGTTGTCTTTTCTCTACCCTGTCTGTAGCTCTCGATGGCGCTCGCCTCGAATCCATGCTCCCGGTGACCTATCGTGTAGCGCAGTAAGAAATGGGAACTGTAAGTTACGTGGAAGAACATGATCTCTCCGGGAGCTGCGGTGGCAGGGGTATTTATTCGATCAGATGCTGTAAATTTTGCACAGAGGGATGAATAGTTCATGTTTCGAGCATTAGACGTGCATGATACAAAGTTAAGTTTTGGGAACTATTTTGATTAATCAAGGTAAAATTGTATTGCCTTTTAGAAAATATGATCAATACAGAAAATTTTAATTCAAACACACTTCGAAAATTTTATGTTAATTTAGATCGTTTACGTGAATTAAAAAAATAATAAAACTAATTGACCGAACTTTACGTGCTTTCATAAATACATGTACATGCACCGCAAACTGAAAACATTTGTTTACATGTCGAGATGTGAATTCAGTCACGACAGTCATTTCTACCGAGTTTGAATCTTTCCAAAAGCTATAATTTTACATTCTGTATGCGAAATTCTTCAAAAGACTAGTGAATCCAATGAGTTCACTCATTTATTCAGAATGCCAACAAGAATAGCGATATTTCGTACAATTTGTTCCGGAGGAATGTATGGAAGATTATCGAGTGGATCTAAATACTTCACTAGAGCCGGAAATTCGATCAAGAACGTTATTGGAACTCATCGATCTTAGTATCGTATTTATTGCATCAACAGGCAAACTAAGTTCATCTGCGATATGTGTTTTCAATATAAAAAAAAATGTCTAATTTGCCCAGACTAAAGCACAAATAGTATAGTGTGGAGAAAGGTTATTTTTAATCACATAAACTAAAGCTTGTTCACTTCCAATTGTATTACGAAATTACAAACTTCTGTGGTGGCCAGTAAATCGTTATGTAAATGTAATCGTTAGTAAAAATAATGTTTATACTTTTGCACTAGTTTGAAGGTTGTTATCAAATGAAAAAAAAAATATAAATCATCCAAAAGACTGCTGCAACAATTGATTTCGAGACAAAATTAGTACATGTTACCAGTTCACGTCAGAGTGTAAATATTTACTTTTAGAATTTCTATCTTTTCTGGCAATTTAACGCATTTTATGATTTGAAAGTTATTCACGTATTACGTTTTGAATAAAAACTTGCCATCTTAATGAAATATTGGTCATTTTCGCTTATTTTTGGAGAGTGCGGTGAATGGAATCCTTGATCAGGTTGGGTCTGTATTCGCCGCATTTTTTAACTAGTTAATTAATGTGGAAGGCTCAATCGCGTTAGCTTTACGGAGCCGATAGTTCATTGCTCTTTGTTTGTAACAAAATTCACTTAATTCTATGTCTAGTAGGAGTTGGACCGAATACTCGCGGCTTACCCGAGGTTAGAAAGGTACATTGTCGAAGGATAGGATCAGGGGAGAAGCTTGGGGGTAAGGTTTCGTTGTCTCATCAGAGCGTTGTCGCCAGTATGAACGGTAGTGCGGTTCTAGTTTCGTCTGGAGTTCGACAGACTATGGTGACGAGTGGGCGACGATAAGACTCATCGAGACTTGGGGGACAAGACAAACAAAAACTATTGAAAAGAGACAAAAGACAAAGGAATTAAATTCTTATACCAGACATTTGAAGAAACACATAAACCGACTGCATATAGCAGATAACGCGAGTTCCCAACACGTCTCTGATAGGAACAAAGGGTTGTCTTCCTTGGGCCTCGAGGGTATTCAAAAGTCGCTCTCTGGCGGCGTCATTACCCTACATTGCCAAACTGCGTGATCGATTCCATTCGCTTATATGGATGTAAACAAAAGTTTGTTTTAACTATAAACAAAATATAAATAAAAAAGAGCAGATGTTTAAATATGATCAGCAAGGCTGGCTCAAATGCGGAAACTTTGCGGAGCCGAAATCCATTATATTTTTTTATTGAAAACGTGAAATACATCACCAAAATATCTAAAAGTTATAGCAATACTTATACAGACTTAAAGAACCGCATAAACAGAAATATTATAAAGTATTGAGAGTCACAAAATTGCACTGGTTAAAATGAAAGTTAAAAGCGTCAACAGTATTTACCCTCAGTTACTCGCGCTATTGTACTATAACCTGCTGTTACCAATCGTTCTGAAACCAACGTACAACTTAAAAAAAACTTGTTTTGAACTAAACAAGCTAAACTTTGATTACAGTAATCCCCGCTTGTATACATGTGATATATCTCAAGATCCTGGACAGATAGAAAGCTACTGTCTTCGCCAAAGTTGTTCAGAAGGTCAAGGTCTTTGACCTGGTGGACAGTAGCTGAGTGTTTTCTCACTTCGCGCTGCTAGTATGCATGTAAAATTTGCGTAATTAAAATATCTCCAGATCCTGACCAGATAGAAATGTCTTCGGCAAAGTTATTGAGAAAGTCAAGATCTTTTCGTTGGTGGACAGTAGTTTACAATTTTGCTGTTAGTTAGTGTCTCAAGAAAACTTGTTACTCCCTGAACAAGACTTTTTGGCTGGTGGACAGTAGCTCAGAATTTTCTTACCACGCGGCGCTTGTATACATGTGGCTCATTCCAGTTCAAGTGTATACACTAACTGCGGTCGATGTCGCCGATTTCAACCAAACTTAGCAAAAACGCTTATTGTGGCATTCTGAACAAACGACTATTTTGGTTTTCGTAAGTGCCTAGATCCGTCTGAGCTACAACCCTGGAATTTAGAGAGTTTAGATATGTTATCTGTAAGCAAGCAAGCTATTTTTGGTCTTGGCACGCCATTTTGATGGTATTTTAATGTTGATTTTTGGGGGTGACCCCAGCGTAGAGGTTAGCATCCATACCTCTCACGCCAAAGTCATGAGTTCAAATCTCACACCCGGACAAATCACGAGCGTTAAAGTGACTATAATAATAAAAAAAAGAAAAAAAAAATATTTTTAGGAGTCTTTATATTTTATTTCTGTTACAGAACCAACAGTAACCAGACTGATTACCGGAAGGTATTAAAAATATAAAAAAATATGCTATTTCCACTCAAGGCGGGATTATTTGTTCCTTAATATTTTGGATTCAAATTTTCTCCACTAGTGGTTAGAAGACAGCTGATAAATAACGCTGGGTGGATGGTACCAGCCATCGCGCACTTCAGAGGATGGCAGTACAAACATGGTACTTAATGGTCGACAAACTAATTCAAAACAATATGAATGAAATGTTGCGCAATTAAACATTAAAATTCATAGTCACTTATTTTGTTGAATTTCAGACAGTAACTTCTAGATATTTTATATGTGAGAATTGCACGGATCTTGAAATATGTTAAATGTGAGAATCTCGTATACTAACGCCGCGTAGTGGGAAAATTCTGAATTATTGTGCACCAAGCAATAGGCTTTGACCCCCTGAACGATTTTATCGAAGACTATCCGCTCAGCATCTCGAGATATATCACATGCGAGGATTTCACATGTATACAAACGGTACGTAGTGAGAAAATTCTGAAATACTGTCCACTAGCTAAAAGGTAATGATCTCCTCAACATTTTTGTGGAAGACAGTAGCTTTCTATCTTAACAGGATCTTGGCATATTTTATATGCAACAATTTCGCGTGTATACTAACGCCGCGTAGCAAGACAATTTTGAAATATTGTGCACCAAGTAATAGGCTTTGACATCCTGAACTAAAGGATCTCGAGCTAAAGCATATGCGAGAATTGTACCTGTATACTAGCGCAACGTGAAGAGAAAATTCTGAACTACTGTCCATCAGCCAAAAGGTCTTGACCCCCGGAGCAAGTTTGCCGAAGACAGTAGCTTTCTAGCTGGTCAAGATCTCGAGCTAGTGTATATGAGAGAATTATACGTATATACTAGTGCCACGTAGTGAGAAAACTCTGAACTGATATCCACCAACGAAAAGATTTTGAGTCTCTAAACAACATTGTCGAAGACATTAACTTTCTATTTGGCCAGGATCTAGAGATATTTTATGTGCGAGAATTTCACGTGTATGCTAACGACGCGTAGTGATAACAATCTGAACTATTGTGGACCAAGCAATAGGTTTGACATTCTGAACAACATTGTCTTTCTATCTCCTCAGGATCTCAATATATATAACATGGGAGAATTTCACATGTATACTATAACGTTTATTGAGACGACCGCAATTTTCAATGATCTGGAAAAAAAAAATCGGGAGGTGGAGTATTAATAGCGATTTCGACCCAATTGAATTCAGAAATCATTATGGCTACTAAATTTAAAGAATTCGAACATGTATGGATAAAAGCGCAAGTAGCATATGAAACTCATGTCTTTGCTTCGGTATACTTTCCTCCGAAAAATGCTCATAAGGACACGTGTGATAAGTTTTTTGGAAAAGCGGAAGAAATTTTGTCTAGTTTACAGCCTGAAAGTACATATATATGGGGACTTTAACCAACGCAATGTTGACTTTACTTCTGATATGGACAATGAAAGCATCTTACTTCCAGTCGTTGGGGAAAATGAAACACTCCATTTTATTTTTGACAAAATTGCAAATTTAGGACTTAATCAAATTAACCATGTGAAAAATCAACAAAATTGTTATTTAGACCTTTTATTAACAAATACTTATGAAGATTTCTGTGTGACTGAATCGTTAAGTCCCATATGGAGAAATGAAATGTTTCACACAGCAATAGAATATTCTTTATTCGTTCACATAAATGAAAGAACCAACGACTGCGAATTTGATGAAATCATTGATTACAATTCAGCAAATTATGATAACATTGGAAATAGATTGAACATTGTCGATTGGCAAGCAATATTAAGAATTGCAGGAAATGTTGAATGTGCAGTTGACGTATTCTACAATGTGTTGCTTGAAATAATACTTGAAGAAGTGCCAACTAAAAGAAGAATACGTCAGAGGCATGCAAAACATCCGGTTTGGTACGACAGCAAAAATCAAAAGCAAAAA